TGTGTGTGTGTGTGTGTGTGTGTGTGTGTGCGTGCGTGCGTGTGTTCGGCGTGCGTGTGTGTGTGTTTCCGTCAACTGTGTGGTCAATAACTCAAACATGGAAATATACCACTTCAAGCACCTAAGTGTCTCTATATGAATCAATGACTTGCAGTGATGTGGTTGAGATGAAAGCATAATGATATCCTCTATTTTTGTCTGTCACTGTTTTTTGCGGTGGACTTTAAAGTGCTGAGCTATTTGTGCATTCATATGTTTTAAGTTATTGCTGCTTTAACAGATATATAGTATCTCATAATGAATGGACTTTTGAAAACCAAGAGCATGTAAACTATTATTCAGCTTCATTGCTGTGATATGAATTTATTTGGGTTTAAATGTGGAATAAAATATGTGGAAAGTTTTTCGTTTTTGTGTCATGCGTGTTTTTTAATCCATCGCTTTGAGCAGCAATGACGACAAAATAATGTAGACTCACTCACATGGAGATATGCAATCAGGCTCAATGTCACCAGAGGCAATGGAAAGTGTTCTCAACCATCAAACCCAATGCCAATGTCGTGTTATAAAATAATGACATGTTTCTGACGAGTCGAGTGAGGAAAGAAGTCGTGAAATGTTGGAGACATTCTTTCAAGAAGCAAAATTACACGTGGCAAAAAGCCAGAAAAGATAAATGAGATGATTTAAAGTACAGGCATGTGCATGAATCTCTCAAGAGCCATAATTATTGATTTAAAGATATAAAGGCCCCTGAGGACAAACTAATGGTTTAAGCACAAACATGGAAACGTAATGACCTTTTCACAAATGCTGCAAACTGGGAACATGCTGTATATGTGATGTAGTGATGTACAGTATATGTGGATAAGTGTAGTGTATCTGCAGCCGTTTCCTGTTTCCCTTAACGACTGTGTTGTAACCATCATCTGTGTTTTAGTGTTTGTTGCATTTCCCCCTAAATTTTGAGTTTTTAATATTTCTTGTGTTTTACAGTTTGCAGTACTTTTGCCTTCGCCAAGGAAATGATATTTCCACCCCTGGTTGTTTGTATGATTGTAAGTAAGATGATGCAAAACCTAAAAATTATTGGACAGATTTCCACAAAGTTTGAGGATATGGGTCAGAAAAGAACCCAATACATTTTGGTGTGGATCCAGATCAAGTGGCAGATCCCAGAATCTGTTTTGCTTGCTTGCTCAGTGATAGAGATGTGATATGATGCAAAATGATGATTCTAGTTTTTCCTTTATACATCCATATGGAAAAAGTTACTTTGATAATTGTAACACTGGAGACAATAACCTCATTATTGTGCATCTCAGAAACCCATTCGGTTTAATTTGTCCTTTTTAGGGTGGTGTGTGATTGTGGTTTCCTTATTTAAAGTCTGTTAATCAGTATCATGACACTGTATATAAATATACAAAGCAACATTTACATAATCTTTTCAGAGTAGTCTATAGAAAAGCAGATTTTTTCAACACATTCAACTCTTTCAGTCTCTTCACACGGGACATTCAAATCTTTTCATTCTCTCTTGATATTTATAGAGAACCTTAACTATGATTTCATGGTAATTAAAAGAGGATATTGATGTCACGGAATGAGCATGTGTTAATATGTGTTTTCATTTCCATACACTGTGTCAAACACGGCGAGCAATTCCCCCTAGAATCAACACAAGTAAATGAGGTTGGTGTAAACACTGCGACGCCTGAACTGAACATCTGATCCTCCTCGTTATTATCTCATGAGACGGTGGAACAACAGAACCGCCAGTCAATCCCCTGACAACAGCAGCAATAACGTGTGTGTGGGTGGGTCAGTTGTGAAACAATCCTCTGGGACACAACAGAAGTGTTTGTGAACCAATCACAAGCTGCTGTTTTCAGGATTTCATTATGTTACAATGTTTCATCAGAGGAAATGTTTTTAGTATTTGTTGTAAAGGGGAATAATAATCCTGTCTGTAGCCACTAAACCAACCAGCGTTATATCATAATAAAGCATGTTGGCCTTGGCTGAGCGCTGCACCCAGCTTGCAGGCTCTACAGTGTGGATAAGAGACAGAGACAGACATGCAAGGTCTGTCCTCGCAGGCAGCTTCGATTCTTTTCCTCCAGGAGACAGTTCTGCTCCATTAACACCACAACCACCGAATACGTCTTCCTTTTCCTTTAGTCCCACAGCGTCTCAGCACCTGTTCTGTGGTTTACTGACGTCACACAGTTATGTTTTACCTCCAGCAAGAAGATTTATTTTTTCTGTCCATATGTTCGTTAGTTTTTCAGCTAGAAAACTACAAAAACAGATTCTCGCAAAATGTAGACGATGGATTGGACATGGGTAAAAACAACAATAAATCAACAAGGAGGATATTTTTTTTAACTTTCTTTATCATGGTGAGATTTGGGTTAGGGGATGTTTTACTTTTTCACCAATTTCAAAAGAATGTATTGATGGATCTGTTTAGAGGACAATTTGGGGGGGTAGGGGTATTATTATTATTATTATGAATATTAGGTTTGCAGGATGCACAAAGAAAGTGGAGGCTCTTCAAGAGATTAGTCTGAGACCCTGCAGGCATCTGAAGAGGAGGAGCTAAAATTAAAGGTTACCTTGAGGAGGAGGTTGGTAGACAATGAAGCAGGCAAGGTCACCCACAGAAAACCACTGGAGGGGAGATGAAACATGTGATTTGACTCAAAATAAAAATAGGGATTACTACAAAATAATAATTAGTAGTCATTTCTAGTCACATCCCATCTCCCAGTTTAGATTAATAAATAGCACCCGTTCAATCTTGGTTGTTTGGATCCTGAGCATGAGTCACATAGATCGTTCACCACTGAGGACCAGACCAACCAAACTTTAACCAGCTCTTCCTGTCAGACAAGTCAGACCAGAGATGTGACTGTTGTGAACCAGTCCACATTTGAGCTAATGCTTCCTGTTTAAATTCTTTGCGTCACGTGAACAGTGGGTGTCATCGCGTGTTTCACACTGACATCATCCAGAAGATGAACAGCTAAAGATTGTTTGAGTCATCATCCACTTTAAACACAAAACACTTTCAGTGACACTTAAAACAACAAGAATAACTCGAGATAACCTGCGACTCACAGGTTTTTTCCTTTAGAAGGTTTTTTCGTAGATTTTCTTCACTAGTTGAGATTGAAGGATGTTGCAGATTGTTGTTGTTATTGTCCTATGAGGGGCAATGATTGTGATTTGTGAAATCACAGATACAATTTTAATTAGCTTGGAGTGAGAGTAACCCTTACCTTCCTTTACTCAGCTTGAAGAGAAACAAACCCAGAGACCAAACATAAGACACCATTAAAGACAAAGTGGATTTTATTTTTCCTGTGTAGCAAACTCTGGTGATGGATTCTGGTGGAAATAAAGAGAATAAAAACAAAATAACTACTGCTTTGTTGACTTTTAAC